CCCCGTGTTTCTCAACCTTAGCAACTTTGAGGCAGGTGGACTTCAACTCCCAGAATTCTGGGAGTTGAAGTCCACATATCTTAAAGTTGCTAAGGTTGAGAAACACGGGGGTAAAGGGGAAAAAAAACAACAGATTAAAATAGGAGTGGAGTAAACAGGCATCGGGTCAAAAAAGTCAAGATACTAGCCGCAACTGCAGCCACCGTCCTGACTTTTATGACCCCTCTCCCAACCACTGCCGTGGGTTTAAAGATTTCAGGATATCCAGAGTATGAAGTTTTTATTGCTGTGCTGTTCAGGACTCAAGCTGAAAATGGAAAATGGGGGCCAAGACTTCACCCAGGCCTTTGGCAGAGGAGAATGACAACCCTGGCCTTATCACGCTTGTCCTCGTTTATTAGTATGATTTACTGATTTTATTGTAATTTCTTTGATTGTTGCCAGTCATTGAGACTGGGCGGCCTGCAAGTTTATACAGAAGAGAATCGCTGTAGCTCAGGGTTGAACGGGGGAGTCCTAGTCTGCTTCTCCGAAAAATAAAAATATAAAACCGCTCACCTATGCATGGTGCCACCCAATACACCGCCACGTAATTCCAAAATTGCTCCGCAAAGCAGCTTATGTGCAAGGAAAAAGCCAGGGCTGGATTAAATATCGCGCCAGTGAGGTTTCCTCCTGCCAGAGACAAAAACAAAACATTTCTCCTCTTAAGACTTCACGCAACTTTTAAAAGCCAATAAAGTTAGATCGGCTAGCGCAAGAACCAAGGATAATTTACAGCCCGTAATATGCCCCTACTGAAGTGTGATGACTCGAGAGCTGGGCCAAGCAGTAGACGCTATAGGAAGAAAGGTGTGTTAGTCTACAAGAGCAAAAAATCAAGTAGCACGTTTTCTGACTAATACGTTTTATTAAAAGGCAGAAGCTTTCATGAGCTGCAGGTTTCAAATGCTTTTGGACGACGTCTTCCGTCCTGGGGGAGATGAGCGTCATACAAATTTAAATAAATAAATACATACATACATACATACATACATACATACATACATACATACCTGTATTAGCCATATTGTCAGGGTTAGGGTGGCTGGTGTTTAGCAATGCTTGGAAGGTCACATATTTTCTACCTTGGTTCCAAGTCTGTCCCTATATGGCTTGCTTGGTAGAGTCTACAGCAGTCTTTCTCAGGCTTGGGAACTTTAAGATGTGTGGACTTCAACTCCCAGAATGCTGGCTGGGGAATTCTGGGAGTTGAAGCCCACACAGTTTAAAGCTCCCAAGGTTGAGAAACACTGGTCTAAAGGTTAATTTCAAGAAAATCTGCCTTTTCCAGCAAGGATCTTTGCAGCCCTTTGTATCTCTTACCAATTTCTTTGTTTTCAACTGCTGATTTTATTCTTATAACATAATGATAAAGCTACCCGCACCTCACACACCAAAGAATAATAATAAGGGTAATTATTTGTGGGGCAACAGAATCTGATATTACTCTAGGCTAATGATGATCAGGTCTTTTGCCAGTTATGTTAGGTATGATCCAAAGTAGCAAAGAGGGGAATCAGACTGGGAGCAGAGCAAGTCATGGGATCTCCTGCTCATTTCCCATATGTAGAATTCCCTTGTACACACACAAAATTATCCCATATGTAAAATTCAAGTTTTGGAATCTCTGCAAAATGCTTTGGCTTCATTATGAAACTTGTCTGCTCTGTAGACCCAGTGACTTCTTGGTCTCCATTTCTGCTTCTCAACTGGACATCGGCTGGGGGGGGGGCAATGTTGGACCCGGCATGGTCACAGAAAAGGCCGATCTCTGACTTCTGCAAGAAGGGACTGTTTTCTTGATGGACGTGGCATTTACCAACAGATCTCGCAGCAGTGGTGTGCTGCTCTGAAGATTTCGGACGAAGTCCCAAACCGAACAGATTCCAAAGGTGAGAGAGCACTGATATTGTCTTTGGTAAACCACAATGTTTGCATTTGAGGATTTCCCAAACTCTGCAGGGGAAAGTTAATGATCAACGATGGCAACGTTTGGATGGATTATGTTCTTCAGATTCTTTCACACGCCCTTAGGGAAGGGCCGTTTTTTCCATGATACAAACCACACAGAACTGGTGCTTTGTTACAGCCCCCCTAGTAAATTAGGAGTTGGATTATCTTCTTTCCCAGAGGACTTTACTCAAGAATCTACAGAACCATTTTGTGTGAAGAATCACTGCAGCAGGAACAGGCAACCTGTTTTTCCTCAAGGGTTCCTTGTGGTCAGGACAGGGGCCGGGAGTGGGCAGATGTGTCCATTATGTACCTACACGTGTGCATAAATACACATAAGCATGCCTCTCCCCACATGCTTCCCTCTCTTAGCTCAGCAAGATGAGATCTTCCAGCCCATCAAACAGCTGTTGGGAAGCCTGAAAGGAACCCAAGGGACTGGGAGATCTGCTGAAATGGTTGGGATGAAGCAGGCCAGGGACCTTAATGCAACAGCATAGTTGATTGGTGTTAATCGTGGGGGGATTACCTACAAAAATCAGAATCGTGCTAACTATGGGTTTGCTTGTGACACTCTATAGAAGCAAAAGTTGGACTTTGAAGAAGCAGGAGAGGAAGAATATTCATGCTTTTGTACTTTCGGGTTGGAGAAGATTCCTGAGAATACTGTGGACAGCCAAGAAAATGAACTGACTGATCATCGAACAAATCAACCCAGAGTTCTCACTTGAGGTACAAATGACCCAGCTCAAATTATCCTTCTTTGGATACATGATGCGAAGACCCAGGTCTCTGGAGAAGGTTCCAATCCTGGGAAAGGTGGAAGGAAGGAGAAGAAGAGGACAACCAGCAGCAAGGTGGACAGACTCAGTTATGGTGGTGATGATGCATCATTAGAGGACCTGAAAGGCCAGATTAGGGATAGATCATCACAGAGAAAATCTACCAATGTGGTCACTAGATGTTGAAAACAACTTGATGACACCTAAACAATCAATCAATCCTGGAGGCAGGGTTGCACCAAGGGCCTTCTAAGATCTTAGGGCCAGTGTCATCTCCCATCCCTACCTCCATCTTTATTATTTTAAGGATGATGCCAGACTTCCTTACATGATTGTTTGTTACTGAGACAACAGATGTAAAGCAGCATGGATGTAATTTAGGTGCCATCTGGTTGGATACATCTTCAGATGATTAAATGGCCAAGTACTTGCAATCCTGATTTTTCCTTAGTGGCTACTTGTAGCTCTTCTAAAGACGTTCCAATAATCTTTCTAATCCCATCCATCCACCTTGTTGGTTGCCTTTCTCTCTGTCTACTTTCTTCACCCTTTTACGTACAGTCCTATTTTTGAGTTGGTAGTCATTCTGCATCCCGTGCCCAAAGGATGTGAATTGCTGCTTGCTGATCATAGCCTTGAGGGAGCAGTCAGGACCTCTTGATTGGGTCTCCTTGTAGCACACAGTTCTTTTAGGGATCATCTCCAAATCTGTAACTGGAATGGGTTCTTATTCTTTCTTTCGCTTGTCCCCCTTTCATAGGCCTTCCTTTACCTGTTCTGATCTTGGATGTCACTGCAAATAGTTTTGCCTATGAGGCAGTTTAAATAAAGAAGTTTCTTATCTCTGAAATTCTGGGTTTATCCTTGGCACTCGTCTCCTGGCTTGTATGGGCCAGGCAATCAGTGCCGGATACCAGTTTATGGCAGAATTGGCTAACTATTCTTCATGATCTTGGCTATGTGGATCATTGACTTCCTCCAAAGAGTTACCTCTTTACAACTCAGGCACAACATTCATCTTTATCTTGAGCTTGGGGGCACCCTACTTTTTCTCTTCTTCCCCATCAGCTGTAACTTTGTTAAGCATGCTGGTTGACATTACTTTCCCCTTGTTAGCAATAATATTAACCCAGATTTTTTTTTCTTCTAGTTTTACTTTTATATCCAGGTCAAAGCCTTCTTCACTTTCAACTAACAAGAGTGTCCACTTGCAAGTACTTGACCCCTTTCGGATTTTGATTGATTGATTGATCGCATTACTTCTCTGCCAGAATCCAAAGACTCCTGGTGGTTTACAACAATGAAAACATAAAATGTTGCAGAAAAGACACAATGAAAATGCGATCAAGGATAAAAAACCATACAGTCATCACTTTAGCACCAGATACCGCCCACCTGCATAGGTAGCTCCCATTTTCAAAGGCCACCTTCTGGAATGAAGTCAAGTTTGGCCCAATCTGACTTCTTCCCTACTAACTAGAAGAATGTCTTCTGACTTGGTGCCTAAACTCATCTAAGCCTTGTGCTGGATCCATACAGTTTTCATGGCAGCCAGAAAGAAGTTCCACGTTGGGTTCTGGAGTTCTTCCTCCTAGTAGTTCCTTCTTCTGTGGCTGCAGAACCAGTCCTGCCCTGACATTCCCCTTCACCTCCCACTCCCCTCTCAACCATACCACCAAGGAGGTCCTTAGGAACAGCTCAACATCTCCTGGCGTCTCTTGGGTCCTTATTGCTACTGAGCCCCTCCCCCACCCCCGTACCCCCGCAACAAATCCTTAGCAAGAAAACCATGCTGCTAGCAACCCAGCCATATGAAACTTCTCCAACACCTTCTAACCTTTGTTTTACATTAGAATTGGGAGCATTTTTCTTTCCATCGATTAACATGTCATGATATTGTTCTGAGGGCTTCTGAGTCAGTCTGAGTCAGTCCAGATTGGTACAATTATACCGTAACCAAGCAGTAAACATACCAATGAGCTAAGCTCCAAAGGGTGAATTAGCAGAAGCGGCTGGCAGAGACCATCTCCCTCTCTCCACCTTTTTGAAGAGACAATGTACTTGGCAAAGGCAGTGTTCAGGGGAAATGATGTGCTGGGCTTACGAGAAGCAACCACGATCTATAAGAGTATTTATATAGAGACCCTGGGCCTGCCGGTTCTGCACCTCAGATGGTTATAAGAAGGCCTCCATCATCTTCTCAGTTCGGTTCCTCTTCCAAATTGAATCAATTCCTAACACATTACTGGATCTTTTATGGACTCTTGGCTCCTCTATGGCTTGCTGTTTGCATAACAGATCTTGCACAGCACCGTAACCAACCCATGTACTCTCTTTCAGCTTTCATCGACCTTAGGCGCCTTGCCCAAAGGCAGGGAGTTGCAGCAATGGCAGTCTGAAATTCTTTGAAAGCACGACTTCGCCTATCTTGCCCTCGGCTCGTCCTTCACCTAGAATTCAGTAAAGAAAGATAGGCAAGCGAAATCTTCCAAATGGTTCAGTGATGCACCGATCAAGGTTTTGGAAACTGGCGATCTGTGGAAGGTGTTGAGAAGGACATTGTCTCGAGCCTTCCCAGTTCAAACAGATTTCAAAGTAAAGTGAAACACGGTTTGGCAGGGGACCAGTTTGAATATGGCAGATACAGAAATGACTCTGCAACTCCTTCTAGCTTCCAAGTCAAGTTTGAAAAAAAGGAGTTTAAATCCTGCTGGGCTACATAATTTTAACTGTTTCATCTGGCAACCTTCCATGCTTGGCTGAATGATAGAGGGTTTGTTTTCTCCCTACTTTCTGCCAAAACCAATATTTTCAAAGATCTCAGGGGGACTTAAGAGGATCCTAAACAAAAACAGGAAAGTCAGATGACCGACTGATGATTTCTAAAAAGTCCTGGACAGTGGAACAAGCAAACATTAACCCTGTGATCTTTGGTGGAATATAGTCATTTGCAAATGGATGACTAAATGCAATGATCTGGGGGAAGAAAATCACAAAGGTCAGCGAAAGCAGGCTAGTTCTTCAGACTATGAATCCCCTCATGCAGAAAACTGAACGTGGAATACAGGTAGTCCCCAGGTTAAGAACGCCCAGTTTAAGGACGACCCATAGTTAACAACAGAGCCTTTTGTAGCAAAATTTGAGTTAAATACACAATGGTTCGAGTTCATTACACACTACTACTTATATCAGTGTTTCTCAACCTTAGCAACTTTAAGATGAGTGGACTTCAACTCCCAGAATTCCCCCTTTAATAAGTCGTAGGATCGGAAAAGGATCATGACGGTCATCTAATCCAACCCCCTGCCATGTGCAGGAAAGCTAATTCAGCCATCCTCAAGTGGCCACCGTTCACCCTTTTCTTAAAAACCTCCAGAGATGGAGAATGTACCATCTCCATAGCTGGATGGTTCCACCGTTGGGCAGATCATACCATCAGGGAGTCCTTCCTCACCGTGATCTGGTGGGTATGGGGAATTTCCAGGGTTTGAACACTGGAGGCGTATTTTAGACAGCAGGGGCTCCCTCCCTCTTCCATCAAAGGAAGTCAAGGCAGAGCAATCTTAACCGACGTTCCTCACCGACTGGAAACCCCTTACGGACTTCTTGCGTGAGAAAGAGAACGATTTTGTGATTTATGGTTTTGGATGATTAGAAAGGTTATAGAAAGAAGGGAATTACGATGAAATTGGAGAGAGCAGTTTGATTAGAATTCTATGAACAACTGCCCAGAGGGATCTCGGAAGCCATTTCTTTATATATATAATGTTTTTTCACGCTTTCCATCTTTCCGTTTTCTTCTTCTTTTTTCTACCTTCTTTTCTCTCTGTTTTTTTTCTTTTTCACGCTTACTTTGCTATATTTGTTTCTTTCTTTCTTTCTTTGAATGTATTTCTTATGATGTATGTAAAACCTTTTAATTAAAAAAAAAATTTTTTTTTTAAAAAAAGGCAGAGCAATCTTAAGTCTATTTCTCACACTTTCCTGTTTTCCTGGGGTAAGGTCATGTTTTACAAAAGCAACTCAAAGTTCAGCCCTCCTTCTGATTCATGAAGTCTCCAAATCCACAAACAGCAGCACATGCCTTATTGTCCTGCCTAGAATGAATAACCCAATTAATTGCACTCAAAGTGGACTTCAACTCCCAGAATTCCCCAGCCAGCAT